GTGTTTGCCAATTTCTATTATGTAAATGTTCCCACAGTGACCAATTTCATACCACTAATGGTTGAATAACTATTAAAAGGAAACCCTACTGGGATATAGGGGTGACCCAGATTGTGTGTCCTCACTGTGGGCTTAAGAACTCAGAACAGGATCCAAAAGCAGAAAGCAGAGAGAATCAAAAAAGCTATTTACTTACATGAATGAGAAAATGGAGAATACACAAAGACAGGATTAATTAATTCCTACCAGTAATGCTGTCTGAGACACCAGGGTGTTGGAAAAGCAAGAGTGTGGGAGTATATATCTGTTCAATGTCTAAGCCGAGCATGGCTGCTCAACTCTGCCCCTAGTTCCCAGCAGCCCTCCTTTCAGGAAATAAGGTTTATGGCATGTGGGGAGTTGTAGCCCTTGGTGCCTGAGATCTCACTGATGTGGAGATGGGACTGAGTCTATGAAGATGTTGGGGGTTGGAGTTTCTTTAGGACATCGTTCACTGGTGTTTGTTCTTTATGACTCCTCTAACAACCAGTTCACAAAATTCCTGAATACTGGAATTATTAACAATTATTTACAATCAACTCTTACAGGCTGGTAAGAACTAATTCCAGTACATGATAGGAATAAAATCTTTTTTACTATATTAGTATTTATCAGAATAATACAAACAGTTTTATGGAAGTTTGAATTTCCAGTAAGGACTGATAGAATGTAGTAGAGTTGCTAGTGCTATGAAGGAGATGTGGGCTAGCTCAGAGTAGAGATTCAAGGAGGATTTCTTAACTATTTCCAAATCTCTTTTTCCTTGTATTTTAATTTTATCTCCCAAAGTCACTTGTTCAGAAAACACTGGGATGGATATATAGACACATGAAAACATTGCTTTACTTTTTAGCTTTTCTTGAATTTAAAGGCTTGCTTAGTTTTGTGATGAGAGCTGAGAGGACTTCTCTAGTAGGTGTCTTTGAACTGTGAACCATTATGCTGGTTGGCTTCACCTCAGTTTATTGTTTTCTTACACATTTTTACAAACTCTGCTCCCCTTGTCTAGCCCAGCAGCTTGAATAGCTTTCAGTACATCAGTGTTTGGCTCAGTAGTGATGCTTAACTCTTGTACCCACTGCTCAGGTGGGACACATAGTCACCTGTACCCTGCTTTCCATCTTCTCATCTCATAGCCTGCCTTACATTACGAAAACGTTACAATTTTAGCTTCTTTTGTTGATGTCATTAGGTCAGATTCTACCTTAGCCTTCAAGGAAACTGGTAGTTTTTCTTTTGCTGTCAGTTTTCCTGGTCTCAGACTGGAAATGCACAGTGAATTTTATTTATTCACCATTAATAACATTTTTACTCGTGATTTAATAAGTAATTTCCTGTTTTACACATATCAGAGTGAAAACTGCCTTTTGTCCTTCAGTAGACGACTATGCTAGTAAACTAAGCTACCTGGAAACTCTTCAGCTTCAGCTTTTGATATAATATTTTTCATTGTGTTCTGAGATTTTGCCTTTGGGAATGTCTTGTAACTCATTCTGTTGCCCAAAAGAAAAAAGTTGGACTAACACAGAAGTCAAAATGGGAAAGCATTATCTTGGAAAACAACAGTTTTCATAGAAACATACAGTTTGTTGATAGTCTTAATCTACCAGTATTAACATTTTTATTTAATGTCTGGGAAATGTGTGGTTCTATCAGAATTTCTTCACTTTAAAATATCCTTTCCTCCTGAAGGTAATGAGTCTAGCCACTACATGTGAGAGCTGCTATCATGTTCCATTATTTAGTTTTTGACTTGAGTGTTAGTTTTGGCTTGAGTTCAAATATACTTCATCATAATGACCTTATTTAAGCCTATGATGGATTCCAAAGGGTTGTTTTCAAAGACCACCTTTAAAATGTCAGGTAGATTTTAAGGAATAACAGAAAAAGCAAAACATTTGTCTTTCTGGGAGGTACTTTGTTTTATTTAACCACTAAGGTAGGGGTTTATAAAATCACATTATAGGTTAAGCTGTGCTCTATTAGAATTGGAAGGGATAATAAATTAGAGTTACTGGAATCTATTTGTATTGGCTTAATTCTAGGAAGACAAGAGCATTGGAATTAAGTGTTTACTGGAAGAAATAACACCTATGTTAGTCATTTGATTACCACAGGCTAAGAAAAATGGAGGAAAAAAACCCCTTAACTTCCAACAATCCTAACTGGTTTAGCAAAAATTATTGGTTGGTGTGCACATTCCACAAATGTTAACTATAGTTCCACTTTTCACACATACGCACACACAAACTGAACAAACAACTTTAAAAGGAAGGTTTTGCCAAAGGAATATCACATCTATAAATTTCTAGAACAGGGCAAATAATGATTCGGGAATTCTGTACATGGACTGTAGGCTAGAGACACTTCAAATTTTGACCCTGATCTGTGATTTATTAATTCTGTGATTTGGGGTAAATTACTTCTTCCACTGCCTTGGAATCCTTATCTGAACTTGGGAGTGGTGGGGACTTAGGCTGATACAATGATACAATGGTGATAATACAAAATTATGATTTACTTGTGTGTAATAAATATGTCTTTAGCAATGAGGGAAATAAGTAGTAAAACATGAAACATTTTAGAAGGAAAAAAATTAATACTTAAAAATTTTAAAAGTTGGGCGCAAGTTGGTGAGTGGAAGAGATAAGACTTACCTCTCATTTCCTCTGTTTTGGTCACTCAGGAAGTACAAAGCTGAAGTGGAATTTTAACAGCCAATTCTGCCAGCTGATGGGAAATGTTACTATAAATGAGAAAAAAATGATGAGATTTTGAGTTCATTATTGAAGCAGTAACAGTCTTTCTTAGTTAGCCTAAGTAGTGTAGATAGGTATCTACTTGTGGATTTGTTACAGAAGGGACTTCTGGGTAAGGGGAGGAGCATTACAGTGCAGTGGCCCTCGGGATGGGTACCTTTTTCCACACCCCACTTACGTGAAACTGCTTTGAACTGCAGCCTATCATGAGCCAAATTTCCTAACTGGTGAGCAGCTGGGAAGAAGGAAGGCACAAAGCGCATATATATATTGGGGGTGGAATGAAGAAGAAAGCAGACACACTTGAAGAGGCACAGGAGTGAGAGCTGCGCCTGGGACTCTAGCCCACTGGCAGGTGGGCAGAATCATGGAAGTCATTACCTTGACCTTGTGGTGGATGATAAGAGTACATTTTGAATGTTGGCTTTCTCCTATGCTTGCTCTCTGGGATCTGCCTAGCTGCTTTTGTGTGGTTTCTATTAGACTGTACCTAGAATTTGTTTTGGTGCTTTCAGGCCTTACTTGCCCCAGTGTGGGTCAAGCCTGTTTGTCTAGAAGATAGGTCATTTTCAGTTTGATTGGGAATCTATTTGAAATCATTTCTTCTCTTCTTTTCATTTTCCTCTTCTTTTCTCTTCCTTCCTCCACTCCACCTTTCACTCTGCCTTTTAAACTTTACTACCAATTAAAGATTTTTGAACACACTGAGTATGCTTTCTTTGCTTTTGTGTGCACAAATGACTAAATCCTTAGAACAGGCATAATGAGTTTTCTTTCCTAACAGTTCCTGGTACTCCTGTGTTTTGCCTGGTTTCAAATGGAAATATATTCAGAAGTAGCCAGGTGAAACAACTGAGGAACCTAGAGGAGACTTATAAAGAATGCTTCTTCAAAGACAAAAATAGCCCACAAACAAGCAAGCAATACAAACACAGAGACAAAAAAGAAAACATGAGAACTATTCAATTTGCACCAAAATTTGCCCTGCTAGCTCTTGTCTAGACTATGAGTTTGATCCTAAGCTTTCTCTTTTATAATTACCGATTCAAACAACTTTAGTTCAAATGAGATCATGGACTAATAAACTCTTTCATTATCATTCCCTACATCTCTCCACCATGTCAACCCCCTCTATGCCTTCCTGCTTCTTTCCTGAAAAAATAAAATAAAATAAATCGCTCAACATGTCAGGCACTGTAAAAGTTTTTAGAAGTTCAAAGAAAGACCTGTACTTGGCTCTTTTTAAGAGCCTATATCTAGTAAATGGCAGCCTGACCTCCCTAAACAAAACCAAGCAAAATGATAAATGTTATACTTAAGATATTTACAAAATAATATACAGGCTTCGGGATGCCATGAAATAGCTATGATCAAAAAAAAATAGCTATGATCTTCTAAAACTCTGTCTTCAATTTTAAATCAAGTCAATCAAATCCCATGCATCTGAGTAAGGAGACCTGAAGTTAGTAGTTTTTCAAACTTCGCTAAGTCATAATTTGGGAATGTTTTGAGTAGGCAGAGACCATTATTTTGCAACAACAAAAAAGATTAAATACATAGAGTATTTGAAGAATGTATGAGAAATGCCTATTCCATTCTGTTAAACCAGGATGTAAACCTTTCCAACCCACATGATCTTCTTAATACTGGAACAATTAACTATATCTGAAAAGACAATAGTTGGAAATAATCAAATAACAAAAGAGATACATAAACATTGTGAAACCACGTGGGCAGCAGCCAGGAACTGACAATGTTAGGAAAATATTTTTCAGAAGATTATACATTTAAAAGCCACAAACTGTGACTGATTAAAGGATTTTGTTACTTTGATTTTAATAGTATCATCAGTCCAAGGTAGAATTACAATAAATGTGACAAACAAGTTTGGAATGTGCTTTTTGTTTTTATTCAGCAAAGCATACTTTCTTTAAACATAAAATCATTCACCAAAAAAAAAAAAAAAAATCAGCAAACATACCACTGAAAGCAAAGTAAACATAGCTATGTTTCCTTGCTGATAACATGTTTTGACTTTTTACTTTGGCATGTTGAGGTCACAGAACTCACAGTCTTACAATATATGCACAAAGATTCTAAATGCTTATGTGGGAAATATCTTTATTTGGAATAAAGAATTTTGGGTTATAAAATTGTGAATGGCTTATAGAATGCAATTTACTAAATTAGTCTTACAAACTAGAATAATTTCATCCTTTGACAAGTGAAAATACATATAAACCATATTTCTGCAGTTGGTGAGCCACAGTTAATTTTCATCTTTGGCAGGACTGGCAGAGTTGTCACCCTCTTCAGCTGGTGTGCTATGCCCCCGCTGGCTTGGAATAGCAGGAAGTACTCTGTTTGTCCGGAGAGGCTCTCCAGATAGAACTGGGAAGAAAGAATAGAATGAAATACTTTCAAGATTTATTTCTCTAAGAGTCTAATGAGGAATGTTGGGAGGAGTATTATTTCTTAAGGTTTGGGAGCTTTCTAAGAAGCTAATCTTGGGTAGAGCTAGATAGCAGAAGATCTGGATACAAGTATGTATGTACACACATATGCATATATACATGCCTATATGTGTGCATGTGTATGTATACTCACACTTGGATGTGTATGTGTATTCAGGCTTACCACACAAAGTCAGGAATATCAATTATGCACAAATACTAGCCTGTGCTAAATTGACCAGTGTGTGTGCCGGGCAGAGCTCTCTACCTTGGGTGGAGTAGCCTTAAAATGGCCAAGTTATGGCCCTCCCAGTGTGTTAAAGCACTGCACTAAGAAGCTTAAGCCACTTCCGCATGAGTTCAATTCCCGCCTGCCCGGGAGGAGATCCACATGGCGTGGCAGACCTCTCCTGACCTGCCCGCTGCTCCCGTCAGCAGTGTACTTCGTCGATCTGCCTGTTCTGTACCCCACTCTGTCTCTGGTGAATCCTCTCACCCTCCGCATCTCTGGCCTATACCCCAGTTCTGTACGAATAAATAAATAAATCTTAAAAAAAAAAAAAGGCCAAGTTAGCACAAAACTTTAAATTAGCCCAAGACATTTGTACTGTGCTTTTTTGCAAACCTCAAAAGGTTCTCAGGTTTCTTGTAGGAAAGCACTGTGTATCTTTCCATTGCGTTTTCATAGAGCTAAAGTTGATCAAAGATCTTTATTTTGTATTATCTCTTTAAATTTAATAGAAAAGCAAAGTTTTTGGGCTCTGTCAAAGAAAATTCTCTCTCTGACTTCTCAATCCCTACCCACCAGGATTCAAGGCTGAGTGACCCTTTCATTAGTTAGATAGCTTTGTAACTACATTTCTGCTTAAACACAAGGTCAGACTTAAATTTGATTTAATGATTGAATTCACACCCTTTCAAACCCTTACTTCACACAAATTAGTAAAGGCAGAGGCTGATCTGTCATGGAAGAGATCTTGATTTCTGCTATGAAATTGTATGAGTTTGGACTATAAACGTTGGGCTACTAAATCTCCCATGGTTTTTTATCTAAAAATTCAAAAACCCTTTATTCACTCAAACTATAGCATAGGGGAGAATAAACACAAGATATTGATTCTGTGCAAGCAGTTGTCAAGTATTTTAAAATATTTTATAATCTCATTTAATCCTCCCAACAATTCTATCTGGCTGGTGCTACTGTTACTGGCACAGTGAGGAAACTAAAGCAAGGTTAAGGAACTTATCTTACATAGTTGGTGCAGGTCCTAAATCATCTAATCTGGGTGTGTGTGCGTGCACGTGTGCAGGCATTACATATGGGTGAGGTGGAATAGGAAGAAAAGGAGGAAGGAGATTAGAATCTAGTATTACTTGTTTCATGAGGCAGTTGACTCAGCATCCTGCATTGAAGCATCTGGCTCTCCTACTTAACACTTAAGTAATGTTGGGCAAGTCATGTAACCTTTTTGAACTGTTTTTTCAATTGGTATTATCTCAGAGAACAAGTATAAAGATACAGAAATTCAGAACTTCGATACAGGGCTCAGCAGTTTATCTCATAACAAGACATCCCGGTAAATACTTAGGCACACTCAAACTTGAATACAACTGGATGAACAGAATGTATCAGAATATATTGTATACTGTGAGAAATTTTTGTATAAAATACGTGAGGACTTCCTACAAACAGAAACGACATGTAGTTGTATCTAGACATGTTAACACTTGCAAAAGAAACTGAGGAAAATTCAAAATACTTACACTTTTGGTCTGGTAGAGGAGCTAAGTTGTTCCGGGCAAATGGAAGATCCCTGATTTTGAGTCTGTTTGGGGAGAGATGCTGAAAATTTTGTCCTGGGGACAAATACTTAGATCAATCATTTAAGAATCAACCAAGTAAAAAAATGATATAATCTAATGGTTAAGAGAATTGTAAAAGTCACTAAACATCACTAAATTGAAGATGTTAACAACAATAAAAGTGAGATAGCCTAGGTAAAAGAAATTATGATGAAAGATGAATTACCCTAGTCTTGTTTGAATAGGTGGACTAAGTCATGGACTAGTGCATCCAGTCCAAGCAACTAAGTCCACTTCACTAACCTGATAGGTAAAAAGCTTAGACCGTGACTAATGATTATCTTGCAATTTACTGGAGAGAGAAAGCAGACAGCCCACATGCACAATTGGAAAATAATCCAGAACAAGCTATGATGCTGCTCTTCTCCCTTCCTCATGGACTGACTTTTTAAATATTTTAGTCTTTAGAAATGCAATCAAAGCCACACGATATTATCTTACACCAGAGAAAATGGCACATATTTAAAAATCTGGCAACATCAAGTGCTGTCACGGATGTGGAGAAAAAGGAACTCTTCTACACTGCTGGGGGGAAAGCAAACTGGTCCAACCATTATGAAAAGCTGTGTGGAAGTTCCTCAGACTACTAAAAATGGAGCTACCATATGGCCCAGTAATTCCACTGCTAGGAATCTATCTAAAAGACACAAAAATATTAATTCAAAAGGATACCTGCACCCCTATGTTTACTGCAGCACTATTTACATGTTGGGAACAACCCAAATGACCAGAAATAGATGACTGGATCAAGAAGATATGGTATATATACACAACAGAATACTATTCAGCAATAAAAAAGCTAAGCTCCATCCACAGCAACATGGATGGAGCTGGAAGGGGTTATGCTCAGTGAAATAAGTCATAAGGAAAAAGAAACATATCAGATGGTTTAATTTATAGGAAGAATATAGGGGAACCAAATAAGAGATCATGAAAAAAAATAAATGAAAAAACAAAACTAGCAGGCAACTATAAATGAGAGACATTATGTAGTGAAGGGTGAGGGGGAAGAATCAAAACAGGGGACAGGAAGAGCACAAGGGACTATGGTGATAGTGCACAGGTGAATTAGTGGTGGGGATTCTATGGGGAAAACACCAATGTTTGTACAAAAAAAGATTGTACAAAAATGAACAATGATGTAATATATGTGTGTATGTGTATGTGTGTGTGTGTGTACATGTTTAAATAAATATCATACCCTTTAAGCATCCCCTCCTAACTCCCTTTGGGGAGCCAGGTTATATTCTCTTTCCAAAACTGGCTCCCTCATGCATGCTGAGTCTCTCTAACAAGGCTTGTTTAGTTCAGCTACAACTAGTGCTCTCTGGTGACATATTTCCCTACAAGGCAAAGGACCCACTCTTTAGGGTTGAGACTCTATAGCAAAAGCAATAATAATAATTATACTTTATTGAGCTTCTATTATGTGCCATTCTCTATTTAAATAAAAGGAAAGGATAGCAGAAATCATGACTTAACTGACTAGTTTAAATAAAATTTTATGAACAGGCATATTTGACTACCCACACCATAAAACTTAAAAAGTTTGAAAAAAAATTGCCATGACTTATCAAATCTTTGATGATGAATTTATTCTTCTAAAACAGGGGTTTCTCAATTCTGGCTACAGTAGGAATTATCTCAGGAGTTAAAAAAAATTGCTTCTCTGACCAAACCCCAGATAAATGAAATGATTAGATTTTTATTAGGTCCCAGGCCTAGAGATGGGAGCTAGTTAAAAAAAAAAACCAAAACTGGGAGATCACTATAATCTAATTTATACTATAAACAGTGGCATATTGATGCTTAAATTTTCAGGCATTTTATAAGCTGATTGACACCCCACTGGTAGCTTAATAAGAACCATGGTATAAGTATTTGCACCATGGAAATCATCAGCAAGCACTGACTTTTCTTTCACAGAGTCAGTGTTAACAATTTATCCACATATTACTAATTATAAGAGATGTTCCAAATATCTAAAAAGAAGATACAACACAAAAGCTATTTATGTTCAATTAAAAAGTTGCTGAATTTGGTAATGAATAGGAGCTTGGGCTCCACAGGCAGAGAGATTAAATACTGGACAAATGAAGCAACTAATTAAATTTCCCCAATAAAATGATGAAAATAATTTTATCTGTTTTTTCTTATAGTTATAAAGATTAACTAGGAAAGAAAATATTAATCACTTGATTTACTGAGTGAAGACTCAATAAATATTAGCATTTGTTACAGTTGTAGACTGCAGAGTGTTTTAACAAAATCTCCTGGACACTGGGAATGAATTATCTGATCTTTTACCTGTTGGCTTAGTAGAAGCCAGAGGCAATACAGCACTGCTCATGGAGTTTAAGTCATCCTTTTGACAAGGTAGTCTTTCAAATAAAGATATAGCACTAGCCAAAATTCATCTCCTGTCTGCTCAGCTGACTCCACTAGCAGACTCATAGAGGCACCCATTTGAGTAGTTGCTTGATTAGGTTGAACAAAACTTCCAGTCTGTGTGGTGGACATTTAATATTTGTGTTTTAATTCCTTTAAACTCTGAAGGGCAAACCATTTTAAGAGCCATAATTTAGAAAGACACAGTACTTACTAGAATTATAGTAAAACCCTTATCAACTCATATCCTATCTAACCAACTACATTTGAGCAGAAATGGAGTAAAATGGAGATATAAGATAATGATAAATAAGATAATGTTTGTGGTGTATTTGCTATTGTCAAGGTTGGAGTAAATGCTGTGGGAATAATTGCATTTAATCCTAACACCACCTTCACTTGTGAATTACATACCATTATCATTCCCATTTTACAAATGAGGACTGTGGTGTGGAGGAATTCTGAAAAGTACTCAAGGTCAGATGATGGGAAGTGAGGGAGCTTGGAGTCAGATCTATTTCACTCGAAAACCCACAGTAATGGCCTTAGAAACTAAGGTTCCTTGCGTAGAGAAGGACTGAGGCAGTGATTTTGGAATTGGAAGGAGAGTTAACTTTATTCCATCCTAGTGCTTTGCTCAGTACACAGCCCAAAGTTTTCTTATTTGTGCTGCAGGCTCCTTCAGGGGGTATCCATGTCTTAGAATAAAAGGGAAGGAAAGGTTTTCACAGTTAAATGAAAGATCCAGAAGTGAATGAAGGACTGGTAGTGTTACAGGGCAGGGAGAGAGGGGCAACCCTGAACCCTGTCTGCTCTAAATAGGTTCTGCCATCTTCCACATCAAGACAAGACATAAGAGCTTTAATGGAAAGGAACTTTAATCAATTAGTATGCAATACAGAAAAGACAAAGAATATAGTTTTTAAATCAAACACCCAAAGTTACCTGTCCCCTCATGGGTAAAAGTCCACCCAAAAGGGGTTGGCCTAAAGCAAGGCCTGAAAACCCGCCATAAGCCTAAAGCATCTTTTGGCCGGGACTCACAGAAAAGGGTCAGAAATGGCCAGACAAGTCTGGGAAGAAAAGAGCAAAATCAAAATCAAGATAAATGCTGCCATAGTGAAACTCCCCCTGAGTCTCTCACCCACATCTGTTTCAACCAGTCCAAGAATAAGAATCAAATGCAGTTTCTTCACATGTCTCTCTGTTCCATGTGTCTCCCTCAGGTCTCTTTCTGGCTCTCTATCCTGCTTCCTCAGACTCCTTTCTAGACTCCTCTCTTCTCTGCTCAGCTCCACTCTCCCCCTGGGTGGGCAGGGAAGCTGGAACCTCCCCTTTGCCTGGGTCCACTCTGTTACAGTAATAAGTTTAGCTATCACTGAGTGCATGGTCACCTAGTGCTAGAGTCTGTAACAGGATGGTCCCTAGGAAAAGGGGAAGTTCCAGGTTTCCTGCCATACCCAAAGGAGGGTCAAGCTGAGCAGGAAAGAGAAGAATCTGGAGAGGCGACTGAAGAAGAAGGAAGCAGGATAGAGAGCCAGAAGGACACCTAGAGGAGGCACATGTAGCAGAGACAGACATGTGAAGAAGCAGCACTTGTTTCTTGATCCTGGACTAGTTGAAACATATGTGGGTGAGAAACCCATGGGGAGGTGAACCTAATAGTAGCATTTTTCTTGATTTTGATTTTGCTCTTTTCCTCCCCATTTCTGACCCTTTTCTATGGGTCCCACCAGAAGGTGCTTTAGACTTGTGGCGGGCTGTCAGGCCTTGCTTTGGGCCAATCCCTTTTGGGTGGTCTTTTACCCACAAGGGGATGGGTAACTTTGGGTGTTTGATTTAGAAACTATATTCTTTGTCTTTTCTGTATTGCATATTAATTTCATTAAAGCTCCTTTCCATTAAAGGTCTTATATGTTTTGTCATGATGTCGTGGAACCTATTTAAAGTAGGCAGGCTTGAAGGCTCATGGGTGTCCTTCTCCCTGCCCTGTAACAAAACTAGGGTATAAAGAGAAGGCAAGGCAAAGTGCTCATGCAGGACTTATAACTTATGCTGGAAGAGAGTAAACTTTAGAGAAATAAATGCCCACAAGAAGTGCAGTTGGATCACAGGAAAGAAGGGTCCGAAGAGGACAAGAAGTCTTGATTCCAAGTGACCTTGCTTCAAGGTCTGCTCTGTTACGTTTACTCTGTGACATTAGACAGGTTGACACCACTGTAGCTCCACTTCATGATCTGTAGAATGAGAATATTCATTTCTCTCCTGCAGTGTTGTTTAAGGAGAAAAATGAAGTTCACTTTTTTGCCCCTGAGGAGAATCAACCAGTTTTTTTTTTTTTTTTTTTTTTTTTTATTATGACAGTAAGAAAGAACCACACTCTTACAGAAGTTGGGGCTACCTTCCAATAAAAGAGTTTGAGTTGGCTCTTAAAAGACTGTAGGTATATATCAAACACATAATAGAGAGAAGGTAAAAATAAAATGGGCAAAGATGTCATAGAGCAAAAAGGCAAGGGATTGCCAAAGGTATCAAGGGGCTATTCGAAGGACTGAGGGCAAAAAGACTGGAGGAGGTTCAGAGACTAGAAACCGGGAAGTGAGGAAAGGGCCGGCTGTGAGACATTTGCCCACTAAAGTACCTAATGGGTTTAAACAGAAGGTCCCAAGTTAAGATCTACACAGGGAGAGTGAGCTGTACTCGGGTAGTCCAGCAAGTTTTGTAATAGAAAGTTTTGAAAGTTTCTTACTTTCCTTGTGATAACTTGTAAATAACCAGGCTGGTAGCAAATACCACAGAGCTTTCAGTTCCATTTTATCTAAAAGCTGCCTGCAATGAATTAAGCTGATGTGGTCCAAATTCTCTCATTATGGTAAGTGCCTCATCCCCTATCTCTCTCCATCCAGCCCACTGACAGGTCTCAATAAATGTTAAGTAATCATCATTATAGCTAAATGTTCACTGTTGCTGATGTAAGCATAGGAGACTGACTGCCAGGAATTCAAACAGTAGCATTGCTAGCCTATATTATTTCTACAAACCCAGTGCAGGAATGGAAAAAATCCAACATTAAAGAGAGTATCCAAGTTCAAGCTAGTGGCGCAGTGGTGTGATTTACAGCATCCAATGACTTTACTATAGCAGGCTTTCATGCCAGATACAGAAGCTCAATGCAGAAATCAGCTGAGTTTTAAGCTACCTGGACTAACAATTTATATCACTTAATTGAATCTCCCTACAGTCAAGAAGCTTCAGTAACTGCAAAATTATTTCAAATTAGGCTTAAAATGTCCACATACACAAAAAATGCATGTGGTAGGGAGGTCTTTTTTTGGAGGACAAAGTAATTTAGAAGAAAATCAGATTGTTGGGGTGAATAAGGTTAAATGAACTGCTTTCTGATCTTGAAGAGCAAACACAAACAAGAAAATTATCTAACGTTCTTTCTGAGGCTGTATTTGTAGATGTAGTAACAGCAACAAGCTTAATCTGGATTCCACGGCCTGATGGGAACTGAAAATACAGAAAGAAGAGGATACCCAGAGATGGGTCTCCTAGAAAAAACCTGAAAGCTGGCCTACAGTCCGGCTACAAAGTCTTTTCTTTTGACTTTAATGGACCCTATGTCACTGTTACTGTGAGAGGGGTATATCTTTCTTTCTTTTTTCCCCCTTGGGCCCTGTATTAGTTGCCTTTGTCCCTAAAGACTGACATATAGAAAATCCCAAATAATTATAACTCAAGGGTATAAATAATTGGAATTACAATCCTGTGACAACTTGGTGACAGTCATATCTCAATTAAGGGAAAGCAAGATTCTCCTTTTCTATGGGCCCTCCAGCCTCCAACCTTATGGAGGGGCAGGAGAAGATTACATCTGAGGACCAACAGGTAGGAGATTAGCTCACTTACTTAAAATTTATCATCTTTAAAATTAAGATCATCCCTAGCTTGTCTCTAGACATAGTGATTAATGTAGGGGCTATCACACAGTTAAAAATAAACATGTGGCCCTCCCTGGTGGCGCAGCGGGTTAAAGCACAGCACTGAGAATCTAAAGCCGCTTCCGCATGAGTTTGATTCCCGCCTGCCCCGGAGGAGACCACATGGCGTGGCAGACCTCTCCTGGCCCGCCCGCTGCTCCCCTCAGCAGTGTACTTCGTTGATCTGCCTGTTCTGCTCCCCACTCTGTCTCTGGTGAAGTCTCTCACTGCCCCTGAGTCTCTGGCCTGTACCCCAGTTCTGTATGTACAAATAAATAAATCTTAAAATAAATAAATAAATAAATAAATAAACATGTGTGTGTATACACTTTACATGTATCAACTCATTTCATTAATAGCAATCCAGTCTATGTGTTAGGTATTTTCCTGTTTCTCAGATGAGGAAACAAAGGCTCAGAGAAATGAAGTAATTACAAGTAAGTAATAAAGGCAGAATTTGAACCTAGATAGTATGGTTTCAGAACCCCCTTTTTCAACCATTAGAGATACTGCCTCTTGATAAATTAGGATGAAAGACACCAAATATTCATTTTTTAAATAAGTGAATGACTAAGGTTCTTTCCATTTAAAACCCATATGATCTTGTGTCTAAATGCAAGAAGAAAAGCAATTAAACGCAATCAGTTTAAAAATCTGTAGCACACAAAGTTCATTGGCAGGCTGAAGATTCTTAGATTTATCTCAGTGACTCAGTTGCTTAGATGATTCCTATTTGCTATTAGCATTCAAAAGTATAGGTCAAAAAATGCTTTGATATAGGCACATTCAGTTCAGATTCCTTCAGATAATTTTGCTTCTCCATTTCTGCTATTTTATCACTCCAAGATATTACTTCTTTGGGTACTGAGCAAATCCTGAAACCAAGTTTACTGAATGTCCTTATATTTTAAGTAAGTAGAAAGTTTTAGATGGCACACATGACAGAATCTACTAGTTCTCTATTCAATGTCTGTCCTTCTATCATAGAAACACAAATCCAGTTTTGGAGGGACAGTAGTCTTCAATTCCTGTTCTCCCGTGCAGACAGGCCTGGTGATATAACTGAAGTTCTGATCAATGTAAGCAGATATGTGATGCTTATGGGAGCTGACTTCTTAATGGGAGCTATTTCAGCTAGAGGACATCCATTATCCCCCTCTATTTACTTCATTCTCCTCTCTCAGCCATTCCAAGTACGAAAGCCCTATGCTAGGATGGAAGGAGCTTGGTGATCATGGAGATACCAAGCACTTAGATTCTATCTATTTCAGATTTCTTTCATATGAGGACAGTGAACTTCTATTTTAAACCATTGTTACACTGGGTTTCTGTTATAGGCAGCAGAAACCAACCCTAGTTGCTATAGAAGAAACAGCCATGGTTGTCCTGGGAACAGAAAAAAAAAAAAGATTTTAAAACATTTCAAAAGATTTTTGAATGAAAAGGTGTTATCCAGAACAGGACTAATTCCAGAGAGCAGGCCATGTCAAGATCCTGGAGGCCATTAAAGGTAGGAAAAGATGAAAGACCATTATTTTCCCCTTCTTACTTTTCTAGAGGACAAAAAAGCAAAAACATTATCCATGTTATCAGCCAAATGCTTTAGTGTTTTGTTGATGAAACAAAGTCTGAGTGGAGTTTTTCTCAGACACCAGAACATAGCCTCCCTGTGTTTATCCATATTTATTCTGTACTTAAATACATATAAATATGATAAGGGAGTCATCTTCTACCTCAGAGGCATTGGGCACTAGCAGATATAAATGAAATAGGGGAGGCAGACTCATACTGAATATTAAACAGGAAGTAGTCTTCATTCCCAGAGAAATGTGGCCGAAACTTATCGACAAAGAACAACTAACACCCCGTGAAGATATAATAGACATAATAGCGTGGTATTGACTGGCTTGAATTGGTAACAGTGGGACCCAAAGGGACAGTCAGATCTAGCAGTTGAATTGGGTTCAACTTTACCAGTAGAAGTTTAGAATTTTCTGGTTTTTATATAGAATCAATTAATTTACTTGAAAATAAAACAAAATTTGGTACTAAGAAACTGCTTTGGAAGCTGTATTGCAGCCTCTACTTCAGAGCCATAATTCCCAGACTCTGGTGGGCATCATAATCACTACGAGCCATTCAAAAAATAAAGTAATGGCCCTCCCCAGTGGTACAAGGGGTTAAGTCTCAGCACCAAGAAACTATATGGGGAGTTTGATCTCTGGACAGGTTGCCAACCCACATGACACAGCAGATCTCTCCTGTCTTTCCCGCTGTTCCCCTTAGTAGTGTATTTCAGTACATCCACCTGCTGTGTTTCCCGCTTTGTCTCTGGTGGGTCCTTTCATGACTCCATCCCCACCTCTGGCCAATACCCCAGCTCTTAATGCATAAATCAATACATCTTTAAAAAATAATAAAATTAGTGATCCAGACTAATTTAGATGATTTTGCAATCTACCCTTTGGTTAAGGATCCTTTTTCCTGTTCTACTATGCCACTGAACATACATATTACTGGGAAGACAACATGCTTTCTGCTTGATGCTTGCTCTCAGTGTGGACAGAAAGTTTTCATAGCCTAGAATCTTGAATTCAGTGGTACTTCAGGGGAAACAAAAAGTTGGTCATTTCATTTAATTTGTTCTTATCCTACCCTCTCAGCTATTCTTACTTCAGTTTCTCACTCAGACATTTCTTGCATAGAGCCTGCCAGGAATGAGGAAGGGAGCAGGAAGCAAGGGCATTACCTGCTGAAGGATTCTGTAGAAGAGGAAGAGGTGGCAACCCCGAAACCTCCTGGTGACTAGATTTGCTGGTAAGCAATCTGTCTAATAGTTTATCAGAAGAAGATACAGTCCAAGCTTTGTAGAACACCTGGTTAGAATCACCTCTCCAAGGGTTTTCTAGCAATGCTTGGCAGACAGTTCTGTTACTTAATAAATCTTGCTCACTTTGGCTTTTCTGGGATCGCTGGGCTGTGTGATGCATAGTAGAGCCCAGGCCAGCATAGGAAGTGGTCCCATGGGAGGCTGTCAGGAAGCTACTGCCCAGGGTGATGGGTGGGAGGCTCTGCGTTCTGATTGGTGGAAGCCCCTTACGTGCCAGAGGCTTTCTTTCTGGCAAGAGATATTTTGAATTCTCTGAGGTCCTCTTCTTAAAGTCAACCATAGCTACTTGATCAACAGCCTGTTCTTGGCAGTTGGTGTCCACAATGCTGTCAAAGGAAGTGATGATGTCATCGACTTCCGAGGTGTGCTCCCCTCTCTGTAGGTCCCTGTTGTGATCCTTCTGATAGGCTCTCTGCTCTTCTTTTTTGTTTTTGCAGAAGATTTGATTGAACATGCTGAATCGTCCCTCCTTCCTCTGTGGTCTATTGTTCTGTGAAGGAATGAGTCGGGCAGGTTCTGTTCTAAGGGAATATAAAATATTAAGGGTACTATGTGCAGATAGAAAGTAAAAGACAACAATGCTAACCAATCAAAACACCTCTAATGTGCCATCTGCTTGAACAGGTTGTCTGAGATCTTACAAAGCCCTCTCAAGTCAAAGGTAATTGTAAGAACTGGCAACATCTTTTCAATCCTTTCCCTTGCCATGGCCTGTTTTCTGCCCAGTTACAGCGTGTCTTAGATTCCTTTACTCCCTCTGGGACTATCATTTTAAAATTCAGGAAATTTTTCCTTCTCGACTAACTTCCCAGTTAATTAGATAATCTTTTTTTTTTGCACTGCTACATGATTCTTTGGTAGCACTTAGGCTATGGTGAGAGTTTGATTCACATTTGATTTCTTTAGCGACACTGAATGAGAACAGAGTGAATATTTTCAGCAGAAAATACCTTAAATAGTCACTGTTCTTGCTTCTCAAGGACAGTTAGTAGGAGTGTAAGTTTTAAGTCAAAGAGATAAAGGCTAAGGTTTGAGGTCATCTTCAACTCATAGAAGTGGGGTGGAGGTTGAAGAAGTGGGGGGAAATGTGGTTTTCTCTGAAAGGGATCCTAGGAGATCTTGACAGAACTCTGACCATATCTATTCAGGAAGCCTGCCCATCATAAGTTGTTTGTGTGTCCTGCTTCTCTTTCAGTTTTACTAAATTTTCTATTGAAAATACTTTTTAAAAATGTGTACTTAAGGAAAGAAGCTTTTCTGGCACAGCTGCAGAAGAGGAAGTATGTATGCTAGAGGTTGGGTGTGGCAGCAAAAGAAAAATGAGCAATGCCCAATGGGCATTTTTTTTTTTCTAAAGAAAAAAGGTTATAGCTGTTGTCTGGCTGGTTCTTATGTGGATAGTTTCCCTGAGGCACTATTGTGTTTTTGTTCCTTGGAAAATTCTGTGTTATTTTCTTTAGAGGCCACAATTGACTTAATGTTTTCTGTGGTATGAGTTAACAATGAAACCTGACCCACATGCTGCCCTAAAAGTCATTACTCTTATAGGACTGAGATACTGTAATCTGTAATTTGCAAGACACCACCACTTATTTTGGCTGCATATAATGACTATCTTTTGTAGAGGTCACACATTGAATGATAGGATCATGGTGTATTTTTTTTCTTCTGTCCTTCACCTTCCAGTAGGTTTTTTGCAATATTGAATCTAGCTTCTTTTCTAATACTATCAGAGTGGAAAAGGCTTTCTGTATCAGAAAGCTGTCAAACTTATAGTGTACATTCTTTGAAGTTCCATTTACAGAACATGCCCATGTGCCAATGAGTGCTACTTCAGTGTCTCCTTCAATCTGTCTCCTTTCTATTACAGGTTTTGATGTTGGCTAGTGGGTTGCAAAATGTGTTTAAATGAATACTGAGGTCTCTGACAGTCTCTCAGGGATGTCATGTTTTTAAAACCTGTTTTCATAATAATATTGAGATGTTATTCATCTTTTTCATCCTGTGTCCTCTGTACCAACAGTGTAATAGAGATAGTGGGCCAAATTGTGGGCTCCTTGGTACAAATCAAGGCATGAGCACCAAAGAACTTGTGTTGAAAAACTTTGCCATGTAACTTAATAATGCCCAGTAAAAGTAATTACTTTTATTAAAATTGATCCTTGAATATATATTTTTTGAACAAAATAAGAAGTATTCATAGGCAATTCTATATACTGATAGAAATGACAGCTGTCTTGAGTTAAACAACTTGTGCAACTGAGTTGCCAGCTGAACTATATAGTTTTTCACAGAACTCCATTTTTATGACTTAGAGAGTACAGTTATTTGGAGTTGGACATTTGCAGAAATTCTCTTAAAAATGAACAAAGTAAATCTATCATGTTAAGGTAAATAATTGGCAGAACTGTTGTGAATAACAAAAATTAGCATTTTGGAAAACTTATATGTACACTGTAAGTTTGATAGCTTCTTGATATAAAAGGACTTTCCCAATAAAACTAGGGAAGTAAACAATTATTATGTAATGACTTATGTCATTTTGAAGATAATTTAATGAACCAAATTTTTCTAAATGACCAATACAATAAATTTTAAAATGCAAGACAGACTAATTAATTTTAATACCTTATAATTCAAAAATTTCATTAATATGGGGACAAAGTCTCTACTTCAGCTAATTTTTAGGAAACCAATTTATCATGTTTTGGTGTAGTATCAAAGTATCCATAATTATTTGAAATGTTATTGAAATACTTCCTAACTGCATATCTATATAAGGAATATAGTTTTTATATACTTCAATCAACATATTACAACAGATTAAATGCAGAAGTAGATATGGTAATAGTTGTATTGTCTCAGGTTTCTATTTACATATCAAATAGGTTTGCAAAACAAGTAAGAACATTGCTGTTATTCTCAACACAATTGTTTTTATTTGTTTTGGAGAATAGGCTGTTTTAAAGTAAAAATATGGCATTTTTGTTAATATGTAAATATAATGGATTGATTTTACTTTAAATGAATAAGCAAATATTTTCTTAAAAATTCTTCAGTTTTAATTTCGAATGTCCTAAATATAAAGAGGTATGACTGACATGAACAAAGCTTTTTGGATCCTTTATTATTTTTTGTGTATAAAGGGGCTGGAGAACAAAAAGTTTGAGGACTGTTGATTTACGCAAAAAGATTAAGAAACTATGGCATAAAGAGAAAAGGAAAGAGAAAAAAAGGAAGAGATTAAAGTTCAGTGACTATTAGGCTGACTGATGGATTTAGACTTGCTGCTACTATTTTACCCCAAAGAGTCAAGAACATGTCACTCTATATTGGATAATGACAAACAATCCTTAGTGATTGTTGGGTTAGTACAATGGAAATTAAAAAATTCCAACTTCTAGAAAAATTAAAAAAAAAAAGAAAGTGGCTCCTGTTGTGCTCACCTGCTCTCTTGGGAGAGGAGTTTGACACAGGCTGTGTGGCCACAGTACAGGGCATAGGCCAGGGGCGTGCTCTCATTGATGTCACGTAGGTTGCTGTCCATGCCCAGCTCCAGCAGGGACTGCACACATTCTGCCTTCCCTGCAGCTGCAGCCCAGTGTAGAGGTGTCCTGGGAACCACATGGGAAAAACAGCATCTGAGCACATGAATGATACATGTTGCTTGGCTGGAAATATTAATAGTACATATTATGTGGGGCTTAAGGATGACAGTGTGCATGCATTGGAGTCTGTCCTCCAGTTCTAAGTATCCTTTGGATTTCCACTTCTTCTGATCTTTCTGAAAATTTCCTAGAAGAGGAAGTAGGTCAAAGGTTATAAATGATTTTAAGGCTTCTTTGTAAATTTTGCCAAACTGCTCTCCAGAAAGAGCTACTCAATCTGTCCTCCTAAGACTTATGTTTCGACATCTTCCTGAACATTGAATATTATTGACGTATTTAAAAATACTGGCTAATTTGGTTATACATAATGATTGTTTTCCTTTGCATTTTTAAAATTAACAGTGAGGTTGAACATTTTAAATAAATGTTGCTTTGCCATATATTTCCTCTTAAAATGACCCACAATGCCCTTTGCCCATTTTTCAATTTCTTACAAATTTATATTAGCCCTTTTACATATGAAAGGTATCAATCTTTTATAGATTATGTAAGTATTTTTTTACATAAGAAAATACATCTAATTTGTACAACTTACACAAATACATAACAAATTACATCTAAAATTACATAACAAAGTACATCTAATTTGTTACTTTACTTTTTATATTTTAGTGATTTTCTATGAAAAACTAAAAAACACATTTAATTACATCTTTATTCTTTATTTCTTTCATATCAGTCAGAAGGTATACAAAATTTAAATCTTTATTGAAGATAAAAACCCAGAGAATGGGAAAAATTATTTGTAAGTGATATATCCAAAAAAGGGCTTATATATATATATATATATGTATATATATTTTAGATGAAATTAAGTTTTATTAGCACACAAATCCATGGCTATTAGTTTACATCTTGTCTAGGGCTACTTTTGTGCACAATAACTTTTGTGCCAGTAACCTTCACAGTCTAAAATATTTCCTGTTTAGTCTTTTATTGAAAAAGTTTGCTGACTCCAGACCACATCTTTCTTGTGGTACTCTGAGTACCTAAACATCTTAGTACTTTTGACAAAATACCACTTTAAAAAGGGCTTATATTTTAGAATCTATAAAACCTTTCAAAACTGCAGAATAAAAAAGTACAAGTTAATCAAAATTAGCAAAAAATGAAAGTACAAAG